GCTCTCTTTTCCACCTCCTCCATGTACAGGTTTGCAACAATAGGGGTAACTGGGGATCCCATAGCGCACCCATGTTTCTGCCTATGGTATTGCCCCCTAAATGTGAAATAGGTTGATTCCAGTTTCAGAAGTTGACACAGTTGTTCTGTGGAAAGAGTGGTTCTGCTGCTGAGAGTGGTGTCTGATTTTAATCTTACACAGACAACATCCACTGCCTTATCAACAGGAATGCACGTAAACAGTGATGTGACATCAAAGGAGACCACAGTTTCATCCATCTCCATGATGACATCCCTCACCTTGTTCAYACATTCCATGGCATTCTGTATGTGATGATCTGAGCTGCCAACTAATGAACCAAGTACTGACGCTAGATATTTGGAAACATTGTAAGTGACAGAGTTAATCATGCTAACAATGGGTCTTACCGGTACATCCTGTTTGTGAATTTTGGGTAAACCATACAGACTAGGAGTGGCCTCACCTGGGTACAGTGTGTGGTACAGAATGTGGTTAGCCTTGTCCTACTCTAACTTTTTTAGGCACTCTATCAACTTCTTCATGCATCCACTTCCTGGATCGCTTTTCAGTGGCTCATATGTGGTCTTGTCACTAAGGAGTGTCATAAACTTCTCATGGTAGTCTTTCTGGTTCAAAATCACTGTGCACCTTCCTTTGTCTGCTGGAAGAATGATTATGTTCTTGTCCTTGCTGAGGGTGGTGAGAGTGTCTCTCTCCTCTCTGCTGATATTAGAAGGTGGTGGTTTGGCATTGCTGAGACAGGCTGAAACTTTGTTCCTAAGTTGKTCTGCTTCAAATTCTGGGATTTTGTTGTTGCGAATGGCTGATTCTGTGGCTGTGATCATCTCAACCAGAGGAATTCTTCTTGGTGTGACCGCCAAGTTCAGTCCTCTGGACAGGATTTCGGTTTCTGGCTGGTTGAGTTCTCTACCACAGAGCCACTGGTTCAGGTATGTTGATGACACCTAGGTTAAAATTAAATCCCAGGAAGTCCAACATTTCACTGATCACATCAACTCTGTGGATAAATATACTGTATAAAGTTCACATGAGAGGRTGTGAAAGATGGCAGGTTGGCGTTCCTGGACTATGAGGTCTCAGTTTCGGATGGAGGACAGTTGGGAACTGACGTGTATCGCAAACCCACCCATTCAGACCAGTATTTGTGTTTTGACTCCCACNGGTTTACTTGTGGTTCCTGGAGTTTCTAAAAGTAGAATGGGAGGCAGAGCTTTCAGTTATCAAGCTCCTCTCTTGGAACCAACAAAGATGGAGTGAATTTTTATTGAAATGTTTACTGAAAGGTTTCGGTTCAAAACGAAAGGCTTGAAAGGTGAAYAATATGCTACAGGGTTAGCACCGTGCCTTCTACATTATTGCAGCCTATGTGAATATTAAATCAAAATTTCATCATAAACATGATTKTAAAGACTAGCTTAATAGTTGTAGTTTTTTCTTAGTTTTGTATTAATGTTGTCTTATAGTATTTCTAATTAATTTCTAAAATACATTYTCCCACACTGCTTTAGATCTAAAACATGAATCTTTGAATTTGATTTGAGTAGGGATGGATTAAGATCCCATACAAGTGGGGTCTCATAGGTGGGTCCACTGCTGTCCCCAAAGACTCTGGTTCTTTATTCAAACCTTCTCGTCCCTCAGATGAAGGTCACCAGGTTAGAAACACTCAGTCTTCTGAGCTTCTCAGGATCCATAAAAAGGTTCTCCAAGACTTCTTTTCCTTTGGCTGCTCAGAGCCAGGCAGTGGTCTAAGTAGAGCAAAGAGGTCTGTAGTTAAATGCCACAKTCATCACACAGACCATTGTCATGGAGTCCCATCACCATTTTGTGCTGGTTGAGCAGATTGTGTCCAGTTAGGACTCCAACCAGTGTACTTAGAATTTTCCTTGTCAGGGAGATGAGAGCTTCCCAAACCTTAGATTTGAATCATTTATCAGTTCCTGTGYCTGTCTAMWGTCCATCAGCTCCCTGCAGAGGACTGAGTGTTGATCTCTAATCCAGGCCTGTAGGGAAGTCCAACAGACCATTTAATGCCAAAATGTCCTGGTACACACTATACAGTAACACTGTTGACTTACTGCTGACAATGTGGACCAAGCTCTGGCACCAGTCCTACAGGGACCTAACAGCCCACATCAATGGGCCTGCTACCCCATACTCCTGGAGTACCCCCACAGGAGTCCCCGAGAGACACAGTCGAACACCTGCAAGTCCACAAAACACATGTAGACTGGTTGAACTCCTATGAACCCTTCAGGACCCTGCTGAGGGTGTAGAGCTGGTCCAGTGTTCCACGACCAGGACCAGAACCACACTGCTCTTCCTGAATCTGAGATTCAACWATCCGACGGACCCTCCTSTCCAGGACCCCTGAATAGACCTTACCAGGGAGGTTCAGAATAGTTGAAACACACTCTGTGGTCCCTCTTTTTAAATTGGGGGACCACCACCCTGGTCTGCCAATCCAGGGGAACTGCCCCAATGTCCACGCARTATTGTAGAGTCGTGTCAACCAACACAACCCCACAACATCCAGAGCCTTAAGGAACTCCAGGTGAATCTCATCCACCCCCAGGATCCTGCCACTAAGGAACTTTTTAACCACCTCAGGGACCTCTAGATAATATTTTTAAATAGAATTCAATCAATCAATAAATCAGCCCTACCATCAAAATCTTTCAGGTTTCATCTTTAACCAGATTTAAAAGCCAAACTCTGAATTCAAATCTTAGAAAATGTTTCTGTGAATCAGTCAGCCTTCTGTAAACTACAAACCTTTCTGTAGAACATTTGGTCAGAAGTTCAGATGACAAACCAACTCATTATGGGCTCAAGCAGCAGCATAGATCTGTTTCTCCCTTTGATAGCTGCACTTCATCATCATTATTATATCACCCAGCAGACCACACAAAGGGAACAAGGAAAATTTCAACAGGATCAAGTTTGCTGTAACACTGAAAACTAAAAATACTCTGCTACGAGTTTTTTAGGTAAAGTTGACTAAATACATTTCTCATCTTGACGACAGGGTTAGGGGTTAGGTTCTGCATTTTCCTCACTTTCTGAGCCTCAGTCTTTAAATCTTGAGTCAGTTAAGAAGGTTTCTGAAGTCTTACCTGGCCGTCTCTTTCCACTCCATCTCCTGTCCGTCCACTGACAGCAGCTCGTCCAGCTCAGTGAAGAGCTGGGGGGGAGCTGGTCCATCATCTTCCTCCCCTAAGATGAAGCGAATCCTCTCAGCTGCTGGGGAGACTGTGGAAGAAAGGGAGAAATTGCATTTCATAGACTGGCACTGTTTGTTGTTTGATAAGGGTCTGGGTGCAGGATCTGTGTCCTCAGCTGGATCCTTCTCAAAGAGCTCAGGTACTGGAACTTTAACCTCATTCCCTTTCTTGTCTGCATCTCCATCTTTTTCTTCCTTCTCTTCTTGGTTATTGTTGCTGGACATCTTTAAAGTTTCAGTGACCCCTGTTTATTGTCCAAGCCAGTTGAGCCAGGCTTAGATATCACAACGGAGCCTGCAAGTGGCACCGACTCAGCAGAATCCCACAGCAGCAGCTAGACCCTGGTGGAAGTGACAGCCAGTCCCAGCTGCCCRTTCCAGCACATTTCGTACCAGGTAGGAGGGGGCTGATGGGGTTTAGGGGTCCCGTCAGTGACAGTGTCCCCACAGCTACACCCCCCACCCCCTTCTCTGTTCMAACAGGCCTTCACTATTGGTGCTGCTGCTTTGGCAAGTGGCCTTAGATGCTGTCATTAACAAATAGGAAATGCTTCAGTAACTGGCCTGTTCTTTAGCTGTGGCTAGCCTTTCTTTCCTTTTCATTGAAATATTAGAGGTGCAACACAATAAAAAGGCAAACACTGCTTCAAGAGGATTGATACAGTTTGAGTTCTGTTCAAGTGCTGTGTAAATGCACGACAGGATGCCTCAAAAACTACAACTTACAAAACATAAACTAGATTTAAAGTACATTTTAAGCTCTAATGAAAGCAGGATTATGCTGGAAAAAAAAGGTTCTCAGCAAACAAAGCAGTTGCTGGTTACAGTACATCTTTCTACCTAAACACTGGAAACATAGAATGCTGCTGTCTCACTTGCTTCTATTTTACCACTTGTGTTTTCTGAATTTGTTTTATTTATTACAAAAACAAAAAATACAGTTTATAGTAAAAAAAACTAAGTCTAAAGCCCATGTAATATTCACAATGTGTTCTTTACATTTATTGTGGGTTGAATGGTAGGAACAAAGTGTCATAATATTAGCATGGCATGCTTACATTTTCCATTTAAAGCCATAAAATCAGCTTTTATTGTTGCAGCTGCATGGCAAAAATTGTCCTTTTGTTCACAGAGAAGCTTCACCTGCTGTATTTCAACAAAAGGCTCAGGACAACCTGTTTCCTCCAGGCAAATGTGTCAGAAGTTTGTGTTTCTGCAGAAAAGCTTCCAGAAGCTGGCTGTTGAGTCCAAACAACATGGAYAGTTTAGAGCAGTTCTTTGAGATACTCAAAGTATAAACGCAYCATATGTGGCAGAACAGACAGCATTAGCATAGCCTAGCATGAGTATATTGTTTGGTCAGTAACCTGTGGAAATACAATATTCAGCTGTGTGTGAAAGGTCCAAGTCACTGCTCCTTCAATCTTTTTGACCCAGACACAGCAGGAGGGAAAAACTAGGAAATCTGTATTTCTGAGTCTGAACTAGAAATTTAGCAAAAGTTGGATTAACTCTCAGAAGGTCATTTAACTTTATGACCATTAGGATTCCCTTAGGGAAAAATAGGTCTCTCTTCCATCACAGGGACACAGAGACAAACAACCTTTCACACGCTCACTCACCACCAAACATACCATCTTACCCAACTACTACATTTACTGCCTAAAAACAAAGTTAAATTTCAAAACACAAAAATGTCCCAAATGGAAAACTCAGGACTGAATAAAGGAAGCATCTCTAAGAGTTGAGCATCACATGCAGACATGAGCATTCACTCCGCACTTATCAAATCATCCACGACATCAAGTCATTCATTAAGTTTTTTTTATTTATTGAGTCAGCATTCACCAGCGAGTCATTCATTCACCAAGTCAGCAGTGTGATCAAATATTAAATGAGGTGAAGGGCTGCGGGTTCCCCTGGCTGTTTCTGTGGCACACAACCAAAGTGACAAGCAGCTGTAAGATTACTGGGTGGACAATAAACGGTCTGCTGACACCCCCTTCCCAACACACAAACACACACGCATCTGGTTTTTATGTACCTGTTGGGACCGTGGATTGACTTCCATTCATYGTTTTGGTAATTTTATATTCTAACCCTGATCATTTACCCTATAATTAATCTGACTGGTACCTACCTGAGCCTAAAACTAACCTAAACCTTGGTCCTAAACCTAACCCCACACCTGTAACATGCATTTGGACCCGTGGGGACCTGACAGTGGTCCCCACGATTCACTTTGGTCCCCACCAGGCTGCTTTTTTTTTTGGTTAAAAAAAATTCCCCACGTTGTAGAAAAACACGTATTCACACACACACACACACACACACACACACACACACACACACACACACACACACA